CAAAAAATACCCAAGGAAACTCTTTCGAAAGGATTCTGTAATGAAGACTGGCAAGGGAGACACGACCTTTACACACACACACACACACACACACACACACACACACACACACACACATGCACACACACACACACACACCTCAGCCATGTTGCACAAAGTCTACGCCTACCCAGAATTCTCCTAGCTTTGAAACACCTTTAGAAAAACTCATTCTCCCAGATCAAACAGAGAAGCGATAGAATAATTGCTATAGACTTGGCACTAGTTCTTAATTCACAGGTCAAGAGACACCAAGGTGACAGGCACAGGAGCAGCGAAGGAGCTGCGTGTTCTGAAAGAACGATCTCTTTTATCAAAGCTGCTCAAAGTTCAGGGTTGTGTACACACACACACACACATACACACGGCTGCTCCCTAGAAGCACCATTGCCCGTTGCTCTTTCCCTTCCAGGAAGTTAGAAAACTTTGGGAACCCACACCTGTCCAAGGGGGGGGGGAGGAGCTTCTTTCGCTTGGCTGTTGAGGGACCCACCGTTCCCACAGACCCACAGTGATCTAAGGACGTCCCACATTCTCACCTTTGCCTGCCTCAAAAGAACGCAACCCCTAACACAGAATCTTGGGTGGCGGCATGTGGTAAGAGGTGATGGATCTAAGAAGGCTGATCCAAGCTGAAGAAAGTCCTCCTTGGAAAATGCAAGATGCGAGTGAATTCTTCCAGTGGAAAGAAGGAAGGGCTGAGCGAGTCAAGGAGGCAAGTCTTTTCTTCACCATGAACGTCTTACAGTCCAGTTGGGTCCTTCCTAAAGTTTGAGAACAACTCTCGTCACCTCTGATGAAGAGGAGCTTCAGTTATCATGCCGGCTTTGCAGTAAGGGGAATTGCAGGGGAATTAAGGGACACGGTGGCTTAGTGGCTAAGATGCTGAGCTTGTTGATCAGAAATGTCAGCAGTTTGAATCCCTAGTGCCGCGTTAACGGAGGGAGCTCCCATTAGTTGCCCCAGCTTCTGCCAACCTAGCAATTCGAAAGCATGTAAAAATGCAAGAACAACAATAGGGACCACCTTTGGTGGGAAGGTCACAGCGTTCTGTGCACCTTGGTGTTGAGTCATGCTGGCCATATGACCACGAAAACATCTTTGGACAGCACTGGCTCTTTGGCTTTGTAACGGAGATGAGCACTGCCACCTAGAGTCAGGAACGACTAGCATATATGTGTGAGGGGAACCTTTACCTTTATGTTTAAAGAGAACATTCCATAGGAGTCTTTTCACACACTTTAAAAATACCAAATCTGGGTATCCATTATTCATGTTGAGGTACTTGAGATTATCCACATCCGTTAAGTTGTTCAAAGGATGCAGCTGCTTTAACAATTCAAAAGGAGATGCTTCTGTGCAATGCTTTTGAGTGTTTTCATAATTTCTGTGTATATATACCGGTACACACACACACACACACACGTACACCGTCCCACAAGATACATATTTACCTATTTATTTGTAGATAATGTATCTAGTTTCGTGTTTAAAGGATGAAATGGATTTCTAATTTGAGCAGAGATGATTCTGCATGCAAGACTAATGAGATTACCATCTAGGGCAGCGATGGCAAACCTTTTTTGGCTCACGTGCCATAAGCGGGGGGAGCGGAAGGGGGGCGTGAGTGGGCGTGCTGCACCCATAATGCAATGCACAACCCCCCGTGTGCATGACAGCCGCAACCCATCTTTTGCATGCTTTTTTCGCCCTCCTCAGGCTCCAGAGGCTTTATAGGAGCCTGGGGAGGGCAAAAACAGCCTCCCCGCCTCCCCCCAGAGGAGCTTCCCTGAAGCCTCTAGAGCGCAAAGAAACAGGCCTACGGCAAACCGGAAGTTCAGGAACGGACTTCAGGACTGGAAGGGACGGCAGGGGGGAGTGTGAAGCCTGTGTAATTCAGCCCAGAGTTATTTGCAGAATCTGCTGATAGCAGGCCAAGTTTCCAAAGGACCAAGTCCTTTAGGGGTCAAATTGGTCTCCCGCAGGGAGTCACCGGATCGCACGCCAAATTTATCAATTCCTTACCCTCGATTTTTCAAGGACACCCCGTACCCAGCCTTTTCCTTCCAATTATGCCAAAAGGAAAGGAATTAATGCAGGGCAGCAAAGGGGGAGGTTCAAACTCTTAAAAGACTCATTTCTAAGGGAGGGTCCTGACCTAGGCTTCCCCAGCAGCACGAAGACGAATCCTTGTCCCGATAAACTTTATTTCATTGACAATGAATTCCTCTCCATCAAAGTCTTTTCTCTCCCACAGCCTTTCAAGGTAGTTCACAATTACCGACCTTTCTCAGGTTTGGAGTGGCCAGGCTGATATCTTTCAGATGCTGCCATACTTGGCAAGAATGCAGGAATGAACTAATGGTTCATTCCTGCAAACTCCACTCCCCTTTCGCTCCTCTTTTATTCCCTCTGGGAGGGGCCATCCATCGTCCACCTGTGGCCTTACTCCCAAGTTGACCCATGTTCTTTAGCTCTTCCCTTCGTCTGGCAAATCTGTATGCGCACACTGGGAACAGGCTCCAACTGTTCAGCTGCCTCACTGATGTCTGACTCCGAAGGCAGCTGATAACTGTCAGATGGCTCTGGTCCCCTCTCTGCCTCCAACACAGAGCCCTCGTCCGAGCCTTTCCCAGACTCCAGGACTGGCCCAGGTTCCTCCCCAATTTCCTCACTCTCTGAATCTGCTGCCAGCTCTGCTGATGGCTGGTGGGCCACAACAGGGAGCCTCTTCCCCTTTTAACACCCAAAGAGCAACAATGCAGTCAAGGCCAAGAGAACACGACTCAATACCGGACTGCCTCCTTCAACATCATTTAATACAAAATGCAGAGGGGACCCATGCGGCAGCCGCATTCAGCTGTTCTGTTTTTTTCTTGAGAGGGGGAGCGAGGGCAGAAGGTGAAAGGAGGCGTCGGCCCATCCTTGGAAGCGCTCCTTACAGGAAGTGGCGGGAGGGGATCTCTCGGTGGCAGCAGAGGTCCTGCCAACCCCCCCTCCTCCCGCAACACTCCTCTGGGGACACAGGTGGACTTCAGCCGGTTCCTGCAAAAGATGACCAGCACTGCATTTTGCCAGTGGTGGCCAAAGTCCCCCCGTTGCCACTGCTGGGTCTGAGCTGGAGAAATTAGGACAAGGTCTCTTTCCCTTTGGGCACAAGGCAGCACCACCACGGGAACGGGAACAGGGCGGGGGGCTAGTGAATTAGGAACAACCCCCCCCCCCTCCTCGAGCTTGAAAAGTGGTTGCTGCTGCAGGTCATCTAGGCATCCTGAGACCTGGAATTGTTCTTAGGTAATCAGTGCTGTAACAGATTCCCCCCACTCCCATCTCTGGGAGCTCAGGAGCGGCTTCGGTCCTCGTGATTCCCCACGATCATCTTGCTGTACAGCTTCTGCTGCTCCTCCTTGAAGGTGTCCTTCACCTTTTCCCTCTTTAAGCCCCCATCCCTGTGGGAAAAGAAAGACACCTGTTGGAGAAGGAACGGTCACTTTGGGCCTGAGTAGGTCAGCTAGGACAGTGTTTCTCAACCTTGGCAACTTGAAGATGTCCGGACTTCAACTCCCAGAATTCCCGGACAGTGTTTCTCAACCTTGGCAACTTGAAGATGTCCGGACTTCAACTCCCAGAATTCCCGGACAGTGTTTCTCAACCTTGGCGACTTGAAGTCCTGTGGACTTCAAGTCGCCAAGGTTGAGAAACACTGATCTAGGAAACCGGTGTTTGGGGAGCATAAAGAACAGGATTTTTATGTCTATGGAGATGCTCAGTACTCCAGGTCATGTTGTCCTAAAGATGCTTTTTTCAGTTTGTGGTTTTTCTTTGAAGGTGTTTCGCTTCTCATTTATATCCATTCCCCACCATCCAAATCATCTGAAGAAGCTTCTTGGCTGAGAAGTGAAACATCTTCAAAGAAAAGGAAGGAAGGAAAATAGCAATAACTCTTAAGACTTATATACCGCTTCACAGTGCTTTCCAGCCCTCTCTAAGAGGTTTACAGAGTCAGCCTCTTGCCCCAACAATCTGGGTCCTCATTTTACCCACCTTGGAAGGATGGAAGGCTGAGTCAAACCTTGAACTGGTGAGAATTGAACTGCCGAACAGCTGGCAGCCGGCAGCCAGCAGAAGTAGCCTGCAACCGTGGCTCTTACACTTATCTCCTTCCCTTTGTCCCCACCTCCAATCAATCAGTCTGGATGGCTTACCATAAGAGATCCACCAGGCCTCCCTGTCTGGCAATGGCAGATTTTACCCGGTTGGCAAACTGCACAGCATCTTCAGTAGGCTGAAAAGGAAGACAGCCAAGAGAGGTCAGTTGTTTTCAGAAAGAATCCGCAGAAAAATCTCAGCAGATGCCCGGCTCCAGTTAACTCACATCTCTGGTCATTGGAGGCAGGTACCAGACGCTGCAGACAATTGCCCAGCTAGTCATCATCCTGAGCAGGTAGTTCACCATGCCGTATTTGCTGCTGTTAAAAAAGGCATCTCCAAATTGGGGGTCATACTGAAGACAAAAAAATAAAGAGAGAGAGAGGGAGGGAGGAAGTGGGTGGGAGAGAAAGGCAAGATGATGAGAAGATTCACCCAGAATATAAGAACAGACACCTGCAAATATAGCATAACAGGATAACAAAGTTGGAAGGGACCTGGGAGAACTTCTAGGCCAGCCCCAGGAAACCCTAGACCAGGGGTGTCAAACTCAAGGTCCGTGGGCTACATCTGCTTAGATCTGTCCATGGGGCTGCCCTGGAAACAGCGAAGGATCAGCCCACAGTACCTCTGCCAGCACAACAGCCCCCAGGAGGGCTGCAGGATGTCAAGATGGCTAGGCCCACCCTGGCCATGCCCCCTCCCCCTCCCCACAAGATCAAACACAACCCTGATGTGACCTTCAATGAAAACAAGTTTGACACCCCTGCCCTAGACTATTCCAGACAAATGGTTGTCCAATCTCTTCTTGAAAGCCTCCAGTGATGGAGCATCCACAATTTCTGGAGGCAAGTCGCTCCACTGGTTGATTGTCCTCACTGTTAGGAAGTTTCTCCTTAGTTCTAGGTTGCTTCTCTCCTTGATTAGTTTCCATCCATTGCTTCTTGTCCTGCCTTCAGGTGCTTTGGAGAATAGTTTGACTCCCTCTTCTTTGTGGCAGCCCCTGAGATATTGGAACACTGCTATCATGCCACCCCTAGTCCTTCTTTTAATTAAACTAGACATACTCAATTCCTGCAACCGTTCTTCATATGTTTTAGCCTCCAGTCCCCTAATCATCTTTGTTGCTCTTCTCTGCACTCTTTCTAGAGTCTCCACATCTTTTTTATATCATGGCGAACAAAACTGAATGCAGTATTCCAAGTGTGTCCTTACCAAGGCATTATAAAGTGGTATTAACACTTCACGTGATTTTGATTCTATCCCTCTGTTGATGCAGACTAGGAATGTGTTGGCTTTTTTGGCATCTCCTGCACTCCAAGATCCCTCCCACAGTTACTGCTATTGAACAAGGTACCACCTATATTGTACCTGTGCATTTTGTTTTTCCTGCCTAAATATAGAACCTTACTTTTTTCCCCCCAATGTGTTTGCTGCTAAGCAGCAACAAAGCTTACCTTGATGGCAACAGGATAAACTGTAGCATCAATCTCAAAACTCCCTTTCTTAAACATCATCACTGAAGTGTTGTTTATACACGTGCCTATTAAGAGGAATGAAAGAATATCTTCCATGAGACTTTCTCATAGTGGAAATAATGTCACGTTAAGGACAGGTAAGACCTCAAACCAAGAAGCTCCTGGGTTGCTGACCCAATTAATCTAATTGACACTCATGTTATTTAGACTGGCACGCAGAAAGCAGCCTCATACGTTTATTTGGAAACAGAACAAACTCTTTTTATTATTTATTTAAAATATTTTTATTAAAAAAATTAATTTTTAAAGTTTTTTAATTTTTTAAGACTTTTTTTTTGCAATTTCCTTCTGTACAACATTTCCACCTTGGTATACATCCATTTTAAATGTACTTCTCCCCCCTTATTTACTATTATATACATTCCTTAACTTACAATCCTTCATTCCATTTATGCAGGTTTGTTCATCTCTACCTATACATTGTTAATTCTTAACTCCCGTGTCTTCTTCATTTAGTCTTTCCTTAAGCTTTACACCTGTCCTCTAGCTGTTTTTACCACTTATTCCATACTATAAAATATTCTTTTTCCTCCTTTTCTTTTATTTCTTTTGTAACTTTGTCCAGTGTTAGACAAGTGTTAAGAGTGTGCAGAAATGGACAAATTTACAAAAGAACAAACTTTTAATTTACACATTGCTCATTCCAAATAGTTGTTTTCAGTTCAGAACAGGAAAATGGGAGTTGTTGCCCTCTTTTGTCATCCATCTAAGTAACAGACTCACTCATCTCTCTCAATCTGGGGCTTACCTTCAGGGAAAATAAGGATGGGCAGTTTACTTTTGTCATTAGCGTGTTCCGATAACCTAAAGGAAGACACAGAAAGAGAAGAGATTCTTAGGAAATGTCCTTGGTTGCTCCAGAAACAGAGGTCAGTGATTGGGGACTGAATTCTTGGTCACCTACACGTGATCCGGTAGGACTCGGCTCCACTTCACTCTACCAAGGGAGCAAGTCATGAGCTACATACCGTCTAGCCACTAGATGGCGATCTTTGACCTCAGAACGCTCAAACCAGACATGAGGACAAGCCTTCACCATGGCTCTCTGAATGACGCCCATGAGACCACCATGGATTTGGCCCACCTGAGGAAAGAAGAAGAGGTCAGAGGTCACTTCCCGCAGCAGTATTAGAAGGTAGCTGGCCCCAAATAACAGTTTAATTCAGAATAGTTTACCGTATTTTTCAGAGTATAAGACACACCTTTTTCCCTCAAAAAAGAGGCTGAAAATCTAGGTGCATCTTATACACCAAATACAGCATTTTTTGCCTCCCGAAGCGCCGTCCCCTTTACCAAAATGGCCGTGCATAGCTTTTAGGAGGCTTTCAGAGAGCTCCTGGGGGCTGGGGAGGACAGAAATGAGCGAAAAACGGGCCATTTTTGCCCCCCACCCCCGGCAGCACTCTATAAGCCTCCATAAGGTTATGCATGCAATTTTTTTGACAAAAACAGGCCCGTTTTT